TACAGAATGGGTAAACCATAGCAGAAAATCTAAAACAGACAAGTATAAAGTTTACTCCATACCTCAAACAAAAAAAGCCTCTAATCTGCCAGAGGGTAAAATAATTTTATTCATAATAACAAAGTCAAGAAAAATAATATCGTTCTTGTCTTGTCAAGCCAGAAGCCAATGAAGAGCTGTCTTCAAATTAATTTTAGAAATTATCAGCACAGAATTCTATGCCAAGTCAAAATATCCTTTAAAAACGAAGGTGAAAAGGATATGTTTTTAGGTTTAAAAAAAGGAAAGAAATATGTCAGCAACAGATCTGAACTATAAAAATGTAGAAAAATTTCTGTAGGCTGAAAGAAAATGATAACAAATGCAAATGTGGATTGGCACAAAGAATGAAGAGTGCTAAAAATGATAAATATATGTTAAAGATATTTTCACTTGGTGTAGAATTTTATGTTGAGAGTTTCTTTAAAGATTTCTGTTCTTTGGCTTCTGTCTTGGCAAGACAAAAATGTGTGCTGTTATAATAAAAAAGGTTTTACCTCAGAAATGTAAAATTGATTCAACATTAGAAAATTAGTCAATGTAATTAAACATCTTAATATAAAAATGATGAAAAAGTCACATAACCATTGCTATCAAAGTAGAAAAATATTTGATCAGATTTGGCCACTATTTAAGGTAAAGAATCTCAGCAAACTAGTTACAGAAGGCAACTTCCTTCATCTGATAAATGGCATCTATAAACAGGTAAAAATACCCCCATATGGTTAATACCATACTGAAGGAGCAAGATTTAAAATTTCTTCCACCCTATAAAAAAGAGATAGATCAGAAATAAATAAGAATATTCATGTTCACTTCTATTCACTATTTTATTGGAGGCACTAATAAGTATAATAAAAAAGAAAGAAAAATAATATACTTTAGAAAGGAGGAAATATAGCTGTCTTTATTTTCAGAGAATATAATTGAGTACTTGGAAAATCCTAGGGAATCCACAAGAAACCTATTAGTGATAAAAGCATTTTCAAAAATTGTGAGTATAATTTTAATACACATAAATTAAATCCCTGCACACTTACATTTATAAATTAAAAGAATAAGATCATTTTAATACTTTCTAAAATATAAAGGACATAAATTTTTAAATATGTACATAACTTGAAATCTATGAGAATAAACATATAGATCTGTATAAAATATTAGATTCTAGAAATAGATCCATCCATATATGGTCAAGTGAATTTTTTTACTAAGAGCCACGGTCATTAAGTGTAGAAAGCCTACATTTTTCAAAAAATTGTGCTGAAACAATTGTATATTCATATGGAAAAAATCAGAATAATCCTTAAAACTTGTTTTAGACACAAACACCATGACTAATAGAATTCAACATTAAAGTTAAAACCACAAAAATTAGGAAAAGATGGGAGAAAATCTTTAGAGATAAAGATTTCTTAGGAAACAGAAAGTGTTAAACATAAAAAAATAAATGGCACTAATTATACAGTTTTGTTTTTCTGAAAACACTTTAGTACCCATTAAGCAATCCCTATTTATACCCTACTCCCCACTACTTTTCCCAGCTTTATTTAATCATCATTCTACTCTATCTTCACGAGTTTATTTTTTTCTTTTAGCTCCCACATATAGGTGAGAACATGTGATATTTGTGTTTCTGTTCCTGGCTTCTTTCACTTAACATAATGTCTTCCAGTTCCATCCATGTTGTTGCAAAGGACAGGATTTCATTCTTTTTATGGCTGAATAATATTCCATTGTGTATCTATACCACATTTTCTTTATCCATTCATCTGTTGATGACACGTAGGTTGATTCCAGCTGTTGTGAATAGTGCTGCAACAAACATGGAAGTGCAGTTGATATACTGACTTCCTTTCTTTTGGATACGTACCCAGCAGTAGGACTGGTGAATCATAGGGTAGCTCTATTTTTAGTTTTTTGAGAAGCCTCTGTACTGTTTTCATAGTGTGGCTATATTAATTCACATTTCTATCAACAGCATATAAGGGTTCCTCTTTCTCTACATCTTGCCAGCATCCATTATTTCCTGTCTTTTTGATAAAAGCTATTTTAAGTGAGGTTAGATGAAGGTTAATGTGTACAAAAATACAGTTAGATGGCAAAAGATCAAGTGATCGGTAGCACAATAGGATGACTACGGTTAACCATAATTTATTGTATATTTCAAAATAACTAAACGAGTAGAATTGAATCTTCCTAATACAAAGAAATGCTAAATACTTGAGGTGATGGATATCCCAATTACCCTAATTTGATCATTACATATTATATGCTTGTATCAAAATATCATGTGCACCTTGTACATATATATATTATGTATCTATGTTTTTTTAAAAAATTAAAGGAAAATTTAAAAGATACTTTAGACTAATGAAAAAAGCAAGCCATAGGCTGAGAGAATACATCCATAAAACATACAAAAAACTCCAGCAATACAATAAAAAATACAGGCAATATTTTTTGAATACATGTCTGTCCTTGTTTTCTTCCCTTGGGGACCCAACAATCAAAAAGTTGCTATTAGGAACATGGCAGATTACTATTGGCAGGTGGGTGGAGAATGGAGGGAGAACTATGGATAATGTAATGCTAGCAACTAAATGCTCTGGCATAGAAGTTACTTACATCAATTTTACTTACAACTCATTGGCCAGAATTGGCCATGTGGCCACATCAAACCAACAAGGAGCTAGAAAATATAATCCTACCATGTTGTTGGTAGTGGGGGAATACTTGGCAAATGGTAATCACATTGATCAAGGCATCAAGCGAGGTGTTTCTTAATAAATTGTTCTATTAAATCATACAGCTCAATGAATTTTAATAATCTATTCTAAGATTAATACTCATGATATGCTCTCACCTGAAAGGTTTTGGAAGATGCCTCAGGTTACAGGTTTTGGGCAAATTTTAATTGGTCAATATAGTTGAATTTATATTATCAACAGTATGTTCTTTGCTGAAGTTCAGGATTAAACTCTAGCTGATTCAACTCAGGAAGCTAAGTGGACAAAATATGTTTTAAAACTTTGTCAGAAGTTAGTCCCACACACGTTTCCACGTCTTTAACAGAAGTGGATGAACTCTCATTCTCTGCCTTGCTCCCCATGGCCTCTACTCTGCAGGCTCACCTGTTCACTGTTATTTGAACAAATATTGCTTTTTATCCCACCAAGCCTTTGTACTTAGTAATTTCTTTCTTTGAGACATTCTTATCCACTCTCACTGCCTGAGAAGCTTTTCCTTTTAGTATTTGCTTCAAGATCATTTCTCATGTACTGCTTTTCCTACTCCTCAGTTAACTCTACTTTCTCCTTCCTCTGTGTTGTCAGAACCTTTGTGTATAATGAGTGCATAGTACATCACTCATTATATTAAAAATGTATTTGTACTTATCCTCTTTCTTGATAGTATAACAATTGCTCTAAACTCTTCATAATTTTACAATATTCAAGTTCATTTTATCTGTTGTTCTCCTACCACATCAAGCATGATATTTATTTAAACATATTGTTCAATCAATAAATTAGAAATGACTGCAGAGATGAATGAACACATATCAGTTGAAAAACATTTTCCATATTAAGAAAAATCATATAGCCAAAAATTCTAATACTAATTCAAATCCACATCTTAATAACTTTGTTTTGATATGTTTAGCAGTTAACTTTAGACAAGACCAAGCTTATTCTTACATGAAGTTATATTTAGAAACTCCATAGATTACTTACAATAAAAAATGTTCCTATTTCAGTGGAGAAAGCATAAATAAGAAAAGAGAGAACAAGGAAAATAATAATCTAGAATAAATAGAAATTAAGGTCTTTCTACCAAAAATGCAGAATGATTCTGTTATCAACAAATTTCTATAGGTGAGAATGGACAACAAGCTCCACTATTTCTAATTTTCAGGTCGATCAGAGCTTTTCCTGGGAAGAGTTTTGGAAATCTTCTGGGCTAAGGTATGTATACTGAATGTAAGAAGAGTAAAGGAAAACATTTCATTCTATATAAATATATAGTAGTTAAAGCCCCAAAGAGATTTTTAAAGCATTAACAAATGGTACGAATAATGTTTGGGAAATCCTGCCAAATACAAGGTAAATAATAAATAGGAATTCCTTTAGGCCAAAGAAAGGTATCCTAAATTGAGTCCGTTCAAGCTGCTTGCAAACACATTTAGAAATGCCTCAAAGAGCAACCTTTCAAAAGTAATTTGCAGACAGAAAATGTAATATCTGACATACATTATTCCCATCTAGGTGGTTGCTTATCTTGAAAACAAGCTCTCATTCATGGAGCATACGATTTCATATGATATGAAAAGAGATATTAAAGTACTATTTATATGGAAGTTGCTATTGTTCCAGTTATTAATATATTTTGATAGAAATTGTGGGCAACATAATTAAAGTGTTAAAACTTAAAATGTCCTCCTTCTGACAGCTGCTAAGTTTTGCTAGTAAAAATTAATTTTTTGCCTAAATGCTGAAATGTGGAAGTATACTTCTCTTTTTGGGAAAAAAGGAACATGAAAACTAGAAAATAATTTTTCTGCTGAATTTCATATTTAAGATATTATGGTTTTCCTGTATTATAACCCAACAAATTTCTAGATAATCCTGTAAAAGTGTCTACTCTTAAAATTTATTAATACCACATGATTTTCTTTGCTTTTCTATTCATCTGTCAGAGTAAAAGATTCTCTCCTAATATGCTAATGATTAATCTTGCCCAGGTGTTAGAGATTATTGAAATGCTTCCATCCTTAATATTCTATGTTTACATAATAGTTTAGCATTCCATTGTGCTTATCAGTCAATTCTATGTTACCTTACTCAAATTAATAAAAACATAATAATGTTGTCTTTAATAATTTACTATAGTCAGTGATTTTATGATTTAGATTATTAAAAATTCTAATTAGTTAAAGAGTAACTAAATAAATCCAAAAATACTTCTTCTTAAATTAGTTTATTAAATGAGGCAGGAAGAATTCACAAATAATTCACAAGTGCTAACTAACCTTTGGAGACCTAACCTCTGCCCAACCATATATGGTGCTTGTTGAAATTTTCATTTCACTCTGAAACACACCTTGGAAATTCTCTTTCTTTTTAACTTCAGGAAAAAAGCAAAATTTTCACACCAAGTCTAGTAGGTAAAATTTAACTCAGCATCTTGCTTGACCTAGGTGTCCCCCAAGTTATGACTTTGACTCTCATACCTACTCATTGCTTTGCCATAAATTAGGCACATTTGCTGGAATAAATAAATGAAGCATAATGGGATTATTACAGTAAGAAAAATTGGGGGAAAAATACTGGGAGAAAACAATTCCTGGAGCATGGAGACTCATGGATTTTCTTAGTAGTCAAGAACTGGAACTCTGTGTACACTGTTAGGTTAGTAGTTAGAACTTTAAAAAACAAAAATTTATACTCATAGAAAAAGGTTCTGATGTTTTTAAGTCTCTGTTTATATCCTACCAATAAGTCTGTGCAGTAGGGATTGCTTGTCACTTTCCAGTCCTGAAAGATAAGGGAGAAAGAAAGTTGTATGGGGTGTCCATCAAATTTTACATTATAAATAATGTGCTTAGAATATTTTATACCCAAACTAGATACTCAAGAAAAACATCAAGCATTAGAATTATTGTAAGCTTTCTATGGAAAATAAATAGTATGCTTGCTCTTCGTAATGTGTTTGATAAAAGTTGCTAACCATCTCTATTTGTTTATTTGCCACTGCAAAAAAATGAACTATGGCAAGACATCTTAATATAAAATTGGAACATTTTAAGTAGTTACAACACATTCAATCAAAGAATTGATCTAGAACTGCCTTTGTTTCTACAAGTTTTGTTTAAGGTAAGGGTAATATCAAGGAAACTAGCATTCCCAACTAATTCCTTTTCTGCCTCTTCAACTGTATTTTTAAACGTTACTGAAAGCTCTGATCAGAGTACACATGATCAGGCATTTGACAGATGCTTGCCTTTTCCAAGGTGAATCGCTTTTATTAAAACATATTGTGAATGGCATTTTACCCTTAAAGCATGGCATTTGGAGGTCAAAATAGTACTTTTCTTGTTAAAAATAATATTAGAAAGTGACTCTTACCAAATAATAAACACCTGCCATTGTACACATAGAAAAAGAAAGTGAAATACTTTTGGTATCAAATATTCCATTGTCTTTTTCTGTTTTATGATCAAAACCACTAAGAACCTTATATGTCTTATAAATTGAATAATACTTCATTGCCATGCTTCAGATTGCAAACCTTGTATCACTGTACTTCAAACCATCCCAAGCAGTTGCTGACATAACATCAGTTTTTCTTGTCTAAGGGACATTGGAGAAGTTTTTATAATTAATTGGAGGAGTTTTTATAATGAATTGCAGGCATACTTTGAAAGTATATTATTATTTAATAAAGCTGAAAGTCATAAGCTTAGACTAAGCAAAAGAAACACAAATACAACCTTAAAAAAGATAAGACAAAGATAACAGAGTTTAAGTCAGTGATTGAGGTTGAAAATATCATTATTTTATAGTAATTTATTTGGTATCATATAAGTAATAATTATTAATTTTAGGAAGATTGTTCCACATAACAGAAAAATACATCTGCATACAAAATCAACAGTAATACATTTTATATAAAAATCATTGTCTTTCCCACATTCATATATACACAAATCATTATTGTCATATATATTTAATTCTCTAAGCCAGGTTTGCTAAATTGTATGGAGGGGAGAGGGAAAGAAGAGAAGAAAATATATGAGAAATGAGTAAATATAGATTTTTTTGCTTTACTTAGAATGGATTTACTAACAAGGGGAAAAAATCAATCTCAGAAATAACACCTGTTACTCAGCAAACTGGTAAACAGACATGCACATTTTAGTCTTCATGTTCATGAATTAGTTCCAGAAACATTTATTGAACATCCATTATATATAGGTTACTCTTCTTGACTCTGGCAACATACGTGGATAAATGATAGTTCTTGGTCTACTCAAGTATTCATGATCTAATGGGAGGGATGGATTTGCAACCATTTTACTATATTAATATATGCTAGAGTAGAATAAGAAAGCATATTTGGGGTACATCTGGAAAATGAAAGGAGATTCATTATCCCTTCTCTACATGGAAGAAGGGAAGAGAGCCTCATTAACTACTGGTATCCCATGGAGGCAATTCATTAAGTTGGATTTTTGAGGAAGACTAGATTTTCTAGACAAAGAATGTGATAAGGTCCATTTAGATGGAAAGAAAACTTATCCAAAGATAGAGAGGTATGACTCATTACACTATTGCTAGAACATGGAATGCAAAGGGATAAATGATAGACGTTGATTCTAAAGTAAGCCAGGACATATCAAAAGTTCCTTACTTAGAATATGGGATATCCTGGGCCTTAGTCATCTGCAGTGATGCATCTTTAACTTGGAGAGCAGCATGGCATCCAAACTTTATAGTTGAAAGAGAAAACAGATTGGTAGATATGGCAACTATAAGAGGGAAAGAGTTTATAGGGATATATTGATAAATATAGGACTTGGTAAATGTTATTTACAGATGTTATTCTTGTATTTTATAAACCTCCAAGTCAGAATTCTGAAGATTAGATTTCCATTTTAGATCCACAGAACTTACTTGAGGCCACAACCAAAGTGAACTCCAACTTTTTCAGTCTTTCTAAGAAGCCATCTTCATTCTCTTTTAATCAGTAAGAAGCAAAGTTTAACTCTATCACATCAACCAACTTCTCTCAAGAGAAATGTATAGCTGTATATAGAAACGGTATACAGAACTGTACACAGAAGTTGTATATAGAACCTATATATGCAAATTTTGTTCTCCTATCCTTATCTTCATTGCCACCTCCTCCCAGTCTAAACCATCGTTTCCTACAATGAGGTAATTTCTCTGTTTTCTCTGTTGCTTGTATCTTCCTTTGAAATTGAATCTTCCTACAGTGACCAATATCCCATTAAAACTATATGTGATCAAATTACTCCATTGATTAAATATATTATAGAATACTGATTAAATTGAATAAAATCTTGTTTCCCTTCAATGACCTCTTATGATTATCTATAGGCTCCAAACACATCATTGCTGACTACACTTAGGCTTCCCTGCTTCTGATCATTTCTAGAACACATCAAACTTTTTTCCACTTCTAGAAGGATATTGCCTAGGAGGATATTTTTAAAAATGGACTCTTGATATAAATGTGTCTTGTTCAGATAAACAAAGCCTATTTTTTTAGTACACACAATATCATTTCTCTCAGTGGTATTTCTCCCACAATACAATTCAGCAATCATTCCCAGTAAAACTTATTTTACTTTTAAGTTATTTTCTAAAGTATACTTTTAAATTTTAAATAAGTTTTTCAAGGAACTTTAGAGGTAAAATCTTGGAAGAAACATAACATTCTATACATTAGCCAATCAATAATATTTTAGTCTTTCAATAAAATAAAATTGTCTAATTTATTCTACTATGAATTTCAGATTTGAGTTTGAGCAAAAGGTAATCATTCTCAATATAAGACAAAGCCCATGTAAAATGAATAAATTGCTTTCTCTATCTTTTTCTTACTACATATTTTCGGAAAGGGTTTCAAGTTTTTTGAGAGCATATAAGCAGTTGCAGGCAAACTTCTGGGATTGGTTTAATTGTAACAAAAGATGTTTTTTTAAAAATGCAATGCTTTTTAAAAAGGCTATTCATACTCATAAATATTTTTCTTTAAAAAAAGATACTTAATAGTAATAAATAATTGGATTTACTTACTTTCTAAATTACTTAACCTTCTCACAAATGATATACATATTAAAAGTTTATCCAGAACTGGGTCCTGAGTAAGATATATTATTATTCCATTCCAAGTGTTTATTATGAATATGAAAGTATTTGTTGTTGATTATTTTGGCAATTATTTCAATAATCGGATATAATTAAGCTTGTTTTTTATTAAACGGTTAAGTTTGTAAAAAAAAAAAAAAGCTAACCACCATAGCATAAATGTTACAGAATTGAACTGAGAAGGTGTGCTGTTGAAATTAATGTAGATAATGTAAATATTAAGCAGGTGGGTGGAGACAGACATAACTGGATAAATCTATTTATTTGCATAAAAATAAGAGATATTAAAAATAAGTTTTACATAGTTAAGTGTTCAGATTTGAGTAAATAATTGGATTAACTATGACTTAATTCATATTTTTTAAACACATCAGGATAAACTAAAACAAATAATAAAAGGAGCCAGGATTCTATTTAAACAAATAGACTTCAGAGTCAGTTAGGCCTGGTTTGAAATTCCAGTTTGAGCCTTATTTGCTGTATAACCTTGGGAAAACTATTCATCATCTCTAAGATTTAGTTTAGTCATCTGAAAAAATGGAGAAAACAATTCTACTTCACCAGATGGTCTTAAAGATTAGTGATGTAAGTGCATGTAAAATGATTCATATATTTGGTGAAATATATACTAAACTCTCAATAAATGGCAGACATTACATTGTTGTGAATAAATCAAGATCACACCTTTTAGTGAATCTTCTTAAGGTAGATATGATATTGTACCCTACAGAACAAGAAGAGGTTCACAAAGCTATGGTTTCATCAGTGTTACATTTCTCTAAGTCCTAAAAAGGCTATAAAATGTAATGTAAAAGATTCAGTTATTCCAACTTATTCCTGCTGAAAGAAATATGCATTCCCACACAAATTATAGAATAAGAAATAACTTATAGAAAGAGAACCAAACATATCTGTAACTAAACATATCAGCTCTCATGCACTTTTCTTCCTACCATATAATATATATATATATAAAATATCATGTATATTAATAAAATATATCTAACCTAGCAGAAAAATCTAGCCATAATACAATTGTGAAAAAGTCATATACTTATAGAAAGAAGGATGGAAGTGTGGTATGAAGATTAAGAAGGAGGGATTTAACAACAAGAAAACATGATTTATTGTGTAAAATCAATAGAGTACAAAATGTGAAGATAATATTGCTACACATCAAAAAATAAAATATGTACCATACATATATTTTGTTTCAGTAAATTAAATAACTAAATTGAATCAAAATATATGGTAATTATTTTAGTATCTGATAGCTATAAAAGCATGAAATAATTTCACATGTGACCTGTCAGGGTAGGTGGGTAGGGAACCTGTGGCCTCCGGGGCACATGTGGCCATCTGGATACTTGAGTGTAGCCTTTTGACAGAATCCAAACTTCACAAAACAAATTCCTTTATTAAAAGAATTTGTTCTGTAACATTTGGATTCAGCTCAAGGGCCACACTTGGGGATCTAGAGGGCCACATGTAGCCTTGAGACTGCAGGTTCCGCACCCTTTGTAACTTTAAGCACAAAGGAACAACATTCAAAATGTTATGTGTAGTAGTCAACTGAAATTTTTGTATTTTACTGAGTTTTGGGGGAAATCTATGTGAAGTTGATATTAGGAAAGGTATTTTTCTTTTTAAAATCATCATTAATGTTTCCAATAATATTGTTTACAATGAGTTAAATTCAAAGAAAAAATCACGAAAAATGTATAGAGTATATAGAGCATTAAACTACACATATATTTTCCTTTTCTAATTTTCAGGAAATATTTTAATTAATTTTTTAAAAGCAAAAGACCAACACAAGCTATGAGTCTATAAAAATCATTACACTCTCTTTTATGAAATAGACTATAACCTTTAATAATTCTGAACTTTATTAGAAAATAGACTAGGTAGCTTAATGATAAACAGGTAGATTCTAGATTCAGACTTTCTATGATATATTCTATTACCACTTACCACATGATATTGAACAAGTTGATTAACTCATTTGCAAACACAAATGGCCTAATCATATTGACCATCTTCTCCCTTACATCCTCCAATAATTTTTCACTAGTTTAATCCAGAACTTGAAAACTCTCCTGCCTTTGTTTCAACAGAGCTAAGTTCAATCTCTCTCCCCTGTTCCAATAGTCTTGAATAAAATCTTCCTTGCCTGTTTACCTTGTCCAGTGAATTTTTCTCTGACAGTGAGTTTGAATATTTATTTAAAGTAGCATTTCATTGATACCAAGAGTAATCAAATGCCAATATAATGAACTGAAAGAATGGTATCTTCATTGTTTCACAATTTGTTTTTGATAAAAGTAATAAAAGATATCAATCAAGTCAGATTTTTTTTTTTTTTTTGAGACAGAGTCTCACTTTGTTGCCCAGGCTAGAGTGAGTACCATGGCATCAGCCTAGCTCACAGCAACCTCAAACTCCTGGGCTCATGCAATCCTCCTGCCTCAGCCTCCCGAGTAGCTGGGACTACAGGCATGTGCCACCATGCCCGGCTAATTTTTTCTATATATATTAGTTGGCCAATTAATTTCTTTCTATTTATAGTAGAGACGGGATCTCCCTCTTGCTGGTTTCGAACTCCTGACCTCGAGCAATCTGCCCGCCTTGGCCTCCCAGAGAGCTGGGATTACAGGCGTGAGCCACCGCGCCCAGCCCAAGTCAGATTCTTAAAAGGTGTGTAGCTTATGATTTTCTCATTTTACAAACTTCTTCCATGATTTAAATGAGAAATTCCATGCTTTAACACATTCTCAATTAATTCAATATCGAATAATTTAATGTTATTTGGAAAACTAGAGCTATCAGGAAAGGCTTTAATATTTGAAGATTATGTGTTTTATACTACTTTGACTTCCAACAACTTTTTGTTATTTTCACATAAGACTATTTGGCTTACAGAACAAGAAAGAACATTTTTAGAGCAAAGAGGTCACATGCACACACAGGAAATAGAATCCCATACCTATCCCATTTCATTGTTGTAAACTGGTTTATTATACATTAGTTCTCATTAGGAGAGAAAATATGCACACAGTTATATTTTAGTCAGAGTCCATTCAGAAATACAGTCTGTCAAAAATGATAGATGCTTAAAAAGGTTGGAAACTAAAGAGCAATTTAGAATAATTGACACCTCATTGTCTTTGAAAGGCATCTTTTCTGAAGAGTTAAGGAGCACAACACCTTGAAATTTTTACTTGGCAAAAAGCCAAGACCTACATAGGGAGTGTGAAACACTTGGCTAAATTTCTAAATATTACTAATTATCTTGAATGATTGCAAGAGGGAAAAAACAGTTGGAGCCTCTTTTAGAGAGCAGCCAGTTTAGAGAATAGCCTAAAGAAATGCTCCGTAGCAATTTGGGACAGGGCAGTCAACATATTAATCTTAGCTTCCTGGCATCGACTTTGTTCAATGTAGATTTATACCATATTTAGCATAATTTCTCATATATGTTTCATGGATGCTGTTGCCTACATATAAAGGAAGAGTTCTTTTTCACATTAATCTCTTGCATATGCATTAAAAAATAAAACTAATGGGGAATTAAGCTTTAATAAGCATTAGTAAGATGGAATAGTGTCATCAATTAGTTTCAATATTTGAGTAAAGCAGGAACTCAGTGGCATGATTTATGAGTTTCACAAACCCTCACTGACCAAACACAGCTTCCTCCACTATACTATTATCTTGCTGTTCTTACTCATATCTACCTGTTATCCATATACTTAGAAAAAAGTTCCAAGTTAGGGAATAAATAAAAGCTATTACTTAATAAATGTTAATATCGACATCACATTTGTTGCTTGGTTGAGATTAAAAATTGCCTCTGCTAAGAGTTTTGATTAGTCAGATAAAACCATCACTGTCTTAGAAGGAATAAAATGTTTAAGTATATATACAAAGAATATTTTATACTTGTAGGGATTAGACTCCTTAAGAGCAGGCTTCCAACTGTCTCTAGCACTGGTACACTTTTGGGAATTTGGGCCAGATAAGGAAAGTTGGGAGAAATCTTGTAACAGATGAAGGAAGAAGAGAAGTTAGCATGAGGAGAGATTGGCTAAAACAGCAAGACCCACTTCAGAGTAGGAAAATATCCCCGTTTATTCTATTTTAACACTGCCATTACCTTTCCTTTAATGATCCTTCATGGCTAATTCTCTGCTCTTTCACTTTGGTTACACCTCTTTTCCTGATTTGTAAATGGAATAGAGGCAAATAGAACTTAGGCACAAAAATTTCATAGTTGACACAACTAAAATTACTTAAATAACTGGTAATTATTTAGAATTCTACATTAATTAGATATTGAGCCACTGATATTTACTTCAACAAATTTGTACAAAATCAATTTTAAAATTAATTTTGTCTCATAACTGTGAAAATGGATAATGTAGAGTCCACAGAATAAATCATATATGCTCACTAATCCATAAATCCTTCTTATTTTTTATATATTTCTTCTTCCTTCTGTGTATATCCCTTTTTACTTACATTTTCAAATATAGAAATGGCAAGATAGGAACAATGTCATCTATTGTAACAGATGTCTACAACAAGTACTCTGGACCCAATGGGTGAAATACAGCCAGAAGGGCAAGGGGAAATAAATAACACAGTTGTAAGTTAGCATATCTTCAGGAAAAGCAAAGAAAGATAAAGATTTTCTATGGAATTTAAAAACACTCCTATAATCTACACAATTAGATTTTCTTCCAAGAATATTCTGTAATACTGACTAGGTAAGTTTTGAAAAAGTTATAGAAGTTATAAAGGGAGAATTAGCACAATGTAGGGCAGACAGTCACTAAAACAATATGTCCTTGAAAATCTTCAGCATCTGTTTCATCCAATTTCAACCACTGACAGATATTAACCCAAGACTTTTAGTTGTGACTACTGTGGTAAAAAGGGACTCTGTGGCTAGGACTGGATGACTTGAAGGAGTGATTTGAAAGACTGCAAAAGAAATAAGTAAATTTAACATCAAGGTGTGATGTCTCTGATATAATATGCAAACATCTGCCTGTGTTCATGGATTGAAAGAACAACTAAAGAAAATGACTAACAAATTCTGAAACAGAGAAAAAAGAGAGAGATCTTAGCACATATACTACAAGAAATGAAGAGACTGTCTAATAATAGATAATGCATTTAGAATGTGGCAGTTTTTTCATCAAAATTTAAAAAGTCCTCATAGCAAATTTTCTATTACAAAAGTGTCAGAGACAAAATATTAAAATAAAGACCTTTACTCTGTCAAAATCAACATTTTATAATATTTCAAAAAGAAGGGTTTTTAGATGTTCCTTAAGGGGATGGAGACACACATGAGTTGAACAGGTTTCTCATCATGCTTATTGCCACCTCTACAGTCCCTTTCCATGAGAATCTGCTCCACTTCACAGCCCCCACCCAAGAAAGCATCGCTAAGAAATAAGCCCTTGACTTGTCACAGGTGATTAAGTCAAGGCTTGATATCCTCCTACCTGTGGGTAACCAAAGCATAGCCTGGGTAGTTGTTAATGGTGATACTAAAGATAGAAATATATTTTCAATCAGTGGGGTATAGGATTCCAGTCAATCATATACCTTCAGGAATTAGAATTAGAAAATATTTGCAGAGAATCATAACATTTTGTTAATAGCAAGTAAAAATGGTTAAAATAATTTCATAGATTAGTTATTTAACATTCTAGTTCAAAAGAAATCTGAACATATGAATGTCTAAGAATTAGGAGTCACCAGAAACCATTAGGAGCAGTGAACATGTCTGCTGAATAGAACAGTTGTTTTCAATATTGGGCCCTCACTGTGATCACCTGTAAAGTGTTTTAAAAGTATGATGCCTAATTGTCATCTTCAGAGATGCTAGATTCATTGACTTGGGATGTGACTTGGCATTATGATTTGTAAAAACTTTTAAAATAATTCTAATGTGCAGGCAAGGCTGAAAATACCTGGTGTAGAGAGTAGGGATTGTAGTGATCACAGCAAGAGAAGTATCAGTAGTGGTAGAAAGTCAATTTGGAGCTGCAGTGGATTTTTCCATCTCCAGTTTCTCTGGGATTTGGGAGTTATTCACATTTCTTACTGGCATTTTTATTTCCTCTTTGTAAACCTGCATGGTGTGAGAAAGTCAAATTGAATCTGTACTCCGTGTCTATAGAAGGCAGAAATTCATGTAAATATCTTACATATATTATTCTATGCACTCTGCATGAATTAGCTTATTTAATATAAAAATTGAAGTACAAACCTTTTTAATCTTTATTTTAAAGAACAAAAAACAGATCAAGAGAGGTAAAGTAATTTCCCAAGAATGTAGTTAATAAATAAATCGTGAAGTCAGGATTCAATTCCATGGACTCTGGTTTTGGATCTGAGCTATATTTTCACAGCAATTTAAATTAATGGCAAGATTACTCCAAAATCTAAAAACTACTCACCTCAAAATAATCATCTGTTATGGAATGGCAAAAAAAAATTTTAAGTGATTTCATTTAATACATACATATTGAATACTTACTATGCAACAATCATAGAATTAGGCACTGGAGATACAAAGCAGGATGGGAACTTAATGAGTCCACGTTAAAAGAAACTTTTTCAGTTACTGTTAAATTTAAATAAAATTGAATACACTTAATTTTGTTGACTCACTTAAGGAAATGCTTTTAATACATTATCATGTTAAATAGCACAATACTTTAAGGCAGATAGAGCAACCTCTTTATAAAAATGATAGAAGAAAAGATTATAGGTAAATGCATTGCCCCTTTTTATGCAAATAATAGAGATTTCTAGATTTAAACTAATTTCTTACACTCAAGTCTACTCTTTCCATTGTCTCCTGTTAATTCATGGCTCCTGAGCTCAAAAGAAAAAGAAAAAGTACTAATTGATAAACTATTTTTATTGAATTCATCTAATATATTATTTATTTATTTATTTCAGCATATTATGGGGGTACAAATGTTAAGGTTACATATATTGCCCTTGCCCCCCTCCCTCCTTGAGTCAGAGCTTCAAGCCTGTCCATCCCCCAGTTGGTGTGCATCACACTCATTATGTATAACACTTGCCATATGTCAAATGCTGTATGTATTAGTTTTTTTTATCAATGTTATAGAAAATTAACCACAAATGTGGTGACTTAAACAACACAAGTTTATTATCTTATAGTTCTAGAGGTTAGAAGTCCAAAACAGTATTATGGAGCTAATGTCACATGTTAGCAGAGCTGTGATCCTCCTTGAGGCTCTAGAGGAGAATCTGTCACTTGCCTTTTTCAGCTTTCAGAGGCTGCCTACATTGTCTTGGCTCATGGCCATATCACTCCAGCCTCAGCTTCCTTTGACACTTCTGCTTCCCTCTTAGAAGGACCTTTCTAATTATATTCTGTCCACTTGCATAATCCAGGAAAATCTTCTCATTTTAGAATCCTTAACTTTATCATGCAGGTAAAAATCTCTTTGCCATTTTAAGGCGATACAAATATAAAACAGTCACAGGTTTTAGGAATTAGATTGTAAACTTCTTTGTGGGGTCATTATTTTGCCCATCACCCTGTATGAACATTATTGTATATGATTTTCAAAACCTAATTTAGTACGTGCTATATAATGATAGTGCTGAGGTTTCAAGTGTGCAAGGGATTTCCCCAGTCCCTAGAGAGGCAGATTCAAATCCAGAGATCATACTTAGAATCTGTACATCAACCTCCTTTGCAACCTCTGCCATTTGATATTCAACTCTACAACAGATCTTAAAGTTTGCCATCTCTTTGTAAAATACAGTAAGAAAATGAACCATTATCATTATATATACACTTGGGCTTCTAGTACACCGAAAAACAATTATTAACATCCTACAAAATTTGTGATTGGAAATTAATAATTATATAGATTTGAGTAACATATATATGGTTGAAATTATTCATTTGAAACTAGCAATGAATATAATATGTATATATGCATTTAAAATTATGCATCAATAACTAGCAAAAATCATAAAGATTTGTTTTTAGATTTCAATGTATTACAATTTTACATAAACACAGGAGAAGATAAATACCACCAGAAAGAAATAATTTTGTGTTCTTTCAGGAAACATTCTATTTTTATTTCATTAAAGTGAGCAACTTTGAATAATTCCATAGAAAAAAATTAATAATATGCTCAGGTAATATCTTCACATGAAGCCTGGCTTATGTAGAAGCCAGTAGAAGATTAGCAATTCAGCCCTCCATATGAAACTATACATTCAGAATGATTTTAACATTAAAGGTTGATTATTTTTACTTTTGTTTCATGTTAAATCCTACAAAACAATCATTGATATGAAATACTTAACAATAATTTTAGGAAGAAATATGCTAGTGCTTCCTCTATCTTTGCCAGAAAATGTCATTCTATTAATGTGATTGGCACTATGTTACTATTGCAAAATAAATGCAAGCCAAATCTATAGGAAATAGTGAAATTAAATGGTAACATTAAATTAAAGCATTAGCTAATGTTGAATATGTTTTAAAATGACAATTATACTAAAAGACAGGTAGAATAACTGAGTAAATTATAAACAAGGCAACTTTTTGCTAAAATTAACAAGACATCAAGCCTAAGTCCTCCTCAACAGAAGCTATTTATCACAATCTCCTACTACCCATGGTTTCAGTTACCCACCGTCAACTGGAGTTTGAAAATAATAAATGAAATATTGCAAAAATAAACACTTCATAAATTTTCAATTGCTCTATGTTCTGAGATCATGAAGGAATCTCACGCCTTCCCTGGCCGTCTACCCGGGACCTGTATCCAGACTCTCCCCTGGCCATTAGTCATTTAGTAGCCATCTGTAGCCATCTCAGATGTCATAGCATTGCAGTGCTTGTGTTCAAGTAACCCTTATTTTACTTTATAATGACCCCAACGCACAAGAGTAGTGATGCTGGCAATTTGCATATGCCAAAGAGAAGCTGTAAAGTATTTCCTTGAGTGAAAAGGTGAAAGTTCTTGACTTAATAAGAAAAGAAAAAAAATTTCTGCTGAGATTGCTAAAATCCATGGTAAGAATGAATATGTTATCCATGTAATTGTGAATAAGGGAAAAGAAATCTGTGCATAGTATTTATGGAGGGCAGTACTATCCATGGTTTAGGCATCCACTGGGAGGCTTGTAACATATCCCCTTCAGATAAAGGGGAATATTGTATGTTCAAATTTAAAGATATGATAAGTTGGCCAGAGAATGTTATTCCTTACTTCTCAGACACGCTGAAATTGACAAAGACATAAAGTGACCCTTTCAGAATGCATAATGACATCAAGTCAAAGAATATTAAAAAAATCATAACATTAGATGTTTATATACAAGAATACTTGCTCATATCATGGTCAGCTCAGAAAAAAATGAGATTCTTACATTTCTGAGGGCAACAAGAAAGTATGTTGCAAGAGATAGGAAGAAGAGCCTGCCAGTGTCATGAGACCTTGTCCTCAAAACAGGCACAGCGACACTTCTATCACATTCTAATTGGTGAAAGCATTATGGAATCCACTCTGATTCAGAGAAAGAGGATATGGACCTGCCTTGATAAAACAACTTTTATCTTGAATCTGACCTATTGAGTTTATGCCAGAAATGCTAGATTTATTTAACATATTTCCATTCAGTTTGCAGCTGTAATACACAGGAAAAGAGCAAAAGCATATGATTATTTCAATAGATGTAAGACAAAACAAAACAAAAAGCCTCTTAGTAAAAGTGAGACAGAAAGAAACATTTACCTTATTTGTGTCAATCTGATAAAATAATTTTGAACTGAACCTTCCATTTAACATTAAAACATCACATTCAATGGTGAAAGCTTTTCTTATATGAAGAATAAGATAAGAATACCAGCTATCATCATCTCTCTAAAATATTGTACTGGAGATCTCAATCTATACAAAGAGACAAGAAAAATAAATAAAACACAATACAATTTGAAAGTAAAAAGTAAAAGTGTCAATGCTCCCAGACAGCCTAATGGAATATGTATGAAATAAAAAAGAAAAGCTAAATGAAAGTTTAGATTTAATATGTAATTTTAGCAAGGTGGCTCAATAAAATAGTATTATGTAAACTAATTGCATTTCTCAATAACATAAAAAATTAGAAAATAAAAATTTTGAAGTACTATTTACAGCATCAAAAAATCAGATACTGAGCTTAAATATTACAAAAAATATGCAAGAATCTTATACAGAAATATCATATACCTTGATTGAGAAGAATTGAAGTGTATCTAAATAAATATAGTGATAAATAATATTCTTGGATTAGAACACTTAATATATTTAACAATAACAATTATCCCAAAATTAATCTATAGATTCAATGTAACCTAAGTAAAATTTCCAGCATTTGTTTTTTGTAGTAATTGACACTTTCTAAATGTACACCAAAATGCAAAGGGGCCAGATATCTTGAAAAAGAACAAAATTGGACAAATTATTCTACCAGATAATAAGACTTCTTAGGGAGCCCTGCTAATGAAGAGAGTGTGGCACTGGTCATTAGTGCAAATGCAGAAAAAACAGGTCAGTAAAATAGAAAAGGAGAAGGAGGAAGAGGAGATAATTACATTTTTTATCCTTTTTAGGTAGAGGCTATATAAACTAATTAATTGATAATCTTGATTAAAAATAAACAATAACAAAACCAAAAAAAATATTAAGTATAATTTTTTGGACTGTAGATTCAAGCTTTGAGCTTCTACCTAAAAATGGTTAAAAATGAAGAATTGATAACATATTTTACTGAAAAATTCAAAATTGATTAAAAAAAGAAATATCCTAATCACTATGAAATTTGTAACCTTTGTAACTTCTGTAGACAAGTGGCCTTTTCTTGTGATTTGAATGCCTGGCTGTCCTTCAAAAATCATCCTAAATTTAGGTTTCAGCTTGGTCAAAAAGTATATTAAAGGCTTTGCCAGTTCTATGATCTTTACTTGAGATTGATTACTTTGTATAATAAAGACTCTGATTTTAAGGAATTGTACATTTTTGGGGGCTGGGCCAATTCCTGATTTTCAGTTTGCTGCTTCTTAGAATTCAAACTCAGGAGTGAACA